ATGATAAAAGGACATAACCAGGACCCATCCCATCAGTCGTGCACCCAGAGGTTCACGAAACTCCGGTGAAAAGGATCAAGTTGTTGTGGCTTTCTGATCGCTCCGACGGCAACCGGTGGACGGTTGCAAACATGACTTGTTTAACGCAGCTTATTAAGGCACCCGTGGCCGCAACCATGCATTCAAACAACTCTGCTAACTCCAAAGCCTTGTCCAGTTGAGTTATTGGTTGCAGCAGGAACTAGCACTTGTTAGCCGGCATATGTACCTCCTCTGTCATATGCACAGAACGCGCTTCTACTGCACCCCTTGACGTCTGCACGCAAAGCCCCCTTTAGCGTGGGTTAAACTTTTGGAAAAAGCTCCTGACTGTCCTGCGGTTCTTGCTAACGACCTTGCAATGCATGCCGTAGTTGCAGGTTGCGCAGTTAAAAATCTCGGGTTAGTGAGAGCTTCTTGAAGGTTGCTTCGTTAGCCTCTTCCGTTGACATTGAAATTTTGTCCACAATACCGAAGGCTCCACTCCGTGTTTCGGTGCTTTACAGTTCCGGAAGGGCGTTCTGATTCTCTATTTACCTGGAGCTTTTCAATAGCATTTCATGGACAGCTTTGCTGCTCCTCCCTGGTGGTCAAACAAATGGGTTCAGACTCTTTCATTTCTACAAGAACACCCTTATAGCCAGTTACATGCAGAATTTCCGATGGCCTTTCATGGAGTTCTCACTTGACTATGGAGCAACTTACACCAAATTATTACTTACATTTAAAGGTATTTTGATCCCATTTTGCGGACTAACAAATCGGTAACGATCCCGCATTGCAAAAGTATGACATTTTCGCCTGTCATGAATGCATTCAACCACAAGGAGCAACTGTACCTACCCTCCCCATGATAAGTCCAGCGTGGATAGCTTGACGCTGTACGCTTAACCGAACGTATATAAGAGAAGAATAAACCAGCCTTTATTAACAATATGTTTACTCAGCTGCGCCACTCATCATTCGACGCTAAGATTCGGTTGCAGCTTTACCAGGTTTCAATGACTACTGCCGGATCATTACCAAGCCAATCGGTCAACAAACGAGGAAATTTGGCCGTCAATAGACTGCGAATAATAGAGCGCAAAATCGGTCTGCACGACGCATCGTCGTTTTGCAAAGTGTTCAAGAGAACTTATGGCAGTGACCCAGGACATGGTGGGTTTTCGCCTGCCAAGCTTTCTTCCTATAAAAAGCTGCAAATGTCCGCTTAAGCGCACCGTAACGTGGCGGATATGACTAGGCACTGAATAAAGTCATAGCTGCACAGTTCACACTGACGCAGGCAGCAGAAGTCTACATACAACATGTGCAACCAATTTTGCTTGGGAGAATGCTTTTATGGAGCACCGAAGATTCTGAGTTTTAATGAACACCGACTGCACCGAACTCTTACTTTGGCCCCTTGATCATGGGGTACTACATGGCGAAATCACGCCGAAGTTGAATATTAGCACAACCGTTATGACTGCTTTCCAAGCGCCCCAGCTACATCATGTTTCTTGGTCGGACTGCTACCTGACCAAATGCTTACTCTTATGAACTACGAACATTTCGGTCATACCTTTTATAAAAACGAAATACTTTACTATTTCAAAGCAGCTAGCCTTGAATGCGTATTTGATCGCGCCTTCACCTGTGTGCCCCGTTTTACCGCGAACAAACGATTTCTGTTTGTTTATTTAGGTGATCAAAGCAGTGTTTTCTTACTTGACCTTCTGGAACTGCATGTTGTACACCCTAACTTGCTTTACCAAAACACGTTAAAGCACCATGACGTTGGAGAGACCCGTCTTTAGTTGGCGGGTTTTCAGGTGGTGAGCAAACTGTGCACCACAACCCTGCCATAACTCGTTCTCGTAGCGCACGTTCCCGGGATCACTATACAGAAGATCTTCAGGTAGTTATCAGCAACGTGCGTCGCTTGCGAAACAAGATGTGCGAGGTCGGCGCTCTTGTAAACCACTCACAACCTTGCTTCTTGGCATACACCGGAATGTGGTTGTTATCTGACGCTACGGAGAGTGTGATGGGCCTACCTGGACACGAATTACCGAGGGTTGACCGCACATTCGGCCGCCGTGGTGGAGAAGCAGCTCCTTAACTCAGATCTACTTTAACAAAACATGCACGCTTCACTCATAGGATGGGAATAGTGAATCCATTTCGGTTGACGTGCGTAGCTCTAAGCTGTTATATATGATGAGTAGGTAGGGCTCCAAATCTTACTTCGTATGGGCTCATTTATTTCCTTCGAGGTCAGTCAGCCAACAGCTGTCGTATTGTTGGCGGTTCTAACCTTCCGGTGATAGGCTGGCGGAACTTTTCATGTCGGTTAGCGGCGGGAGGACTGGTCAAAGTTCTTCTTGTACTGACGTCGCTAGGATCCTAACACCAGCATGTGGAACAAGCTACCAGGTTCATGGAAGACCAGGCCACATTCCTCCCCGGTATAACGTTTGCGGTCTGCAGCTTTTAAAAGTCAATTTACTTACGTACTACACGTATAGGTTAACGGTCACCACTGTTTGTCATTTAACTGTGCCTTTTCCTTGACCGTACTGATGACAACCTTACAATTCTGAAGATATGATGAGCCGATTTCCCCGTGATCCCGATTAAGGTCGCCACCGTATTGTACCATCGCTGCTGATTATGACTTGCTGACCGCGTGAGATTATTTCAATACCAACCTGTCTGAGGTGTCTTACTCATGTCTCAATTTCAGTGAGAAAGGTTAAAGAGGTGAAACCACCATTGGTCGCTCCGGCTGCACGTCGGCCATGGGAAGGTGGACCAAGTGCCGGTAGACGCATCGGTGGGCTTCCTCAGGGAGATCTTTCCTGCGCAATCGTGAGGCACGGGTCACCTGCAAACAACATCTGCCTGCCATTCGACTACGCTATGGTATGAACTTGGCGGACTCAGCTTCGGTAAATCCAAAGCGCATCTGCGCTCACATAAAGTGGTGGACCAAACCAAACGCACTCCTTCCAGTCTTGTTTGGTGTCTACGGCGATGCTGCTAATACAGCTCACGCTAAGGCCTGTCTGCCTGCCGAACAGTATGCGCGGACATCCGTTACGGAAACTGCCTTGCCACGTATTGATTATGGGATCAGACGTCCTTCTGACTCTCCGATGGGTAATTCTAGTACGAAGGCCGAGGTGCTGGTGCCACTACGAGAACTAAACCTTACGAAAGCGCTTGGGGCAGATGATATTCACACTAAGTTGCTATGTAAACCCGCAGCCGAACTTTCTGGCCCAATCCCGCATCTACTTGAGATGTTCCTTAACCACTGCCCCTTAACTTCTGCTTGTAAGGAAGCGATTGCATGATTTTCAAGTAGCTTGACAAACATCACCATGCGAATCACTTCCTGGGATCTACGGAGCTACACTTCCTAGCAGCAGGTTGCTTAACGAAAGCTGTTTTACCAGGCTAAGTTGTGGTCATCTAAGGAATGCTAGGCTAGGGCGTTGGACGTTTGTGCCTCAGAGCCCAGTCTTTTGAGCTTTGCTGTTCTCTATCTGTGTGAATGGCCTATTCGCGGAGATTGTGGTACCATGGCTGCTAGTAGCTGATAATCTGCGGCTGTGTAACACTGTCGATGTTCTTGGGGTTCAAAAGCTATAAAGCGAGCCTTGGCTAAGTTATGGAACTTGGCTAGATTCTGATTACTGCCCATACATCAGGCAAACTGATCCGTTCTTCGAATTGGACTAGGCTGTCCTGCGAAGTACTTGGTCGTTGGGGTTTCACTCTCACATGTACCTAGTAAAGCTGACCTAAGCGTCGTATACTTTTCGACTTCACATTTCGGCGACAACTGGAAGAAGGCTGCAAGTGGTGGCTTCTGCATGCTGTAGGTACTACGACGTTAGTGCGGATCCTTGTAGGGGGGGCATCTGTACAGGCCTGTTCACAGCTTCCGTTCAGCCTCATCTGAAATCCTGTGCCTAGGATACTTAACCCCGCTTTGTACGTGACAAAATAGAGCTAGCGAGGGTTTTACCGGTGGGTACTAGGTTGGTCGATAGATTACGGAGACGGACGTATCCCGAACGCCTGCTTAGTTTGGAAATGCAATCAATGCACTACCAAGGGCTTAGAGCAGACCTAAACCTAACCTACCGTATCCTTACAGGGTAGGTTGGTCTAGGTTTATCCTGGCTATTCAGTCCTGCTAGATTGTCTTTTCTACGCGGTAATTCCATGAAGCCGGACAAACTTAGGTCCGATGCGATTGGGACGGAAGTCCAACTGTCACGCCGAGTCATCCAGCGCCACAACATGCTTCCGGAACGTGTCATCAGGAATCCCACGGTTAAGGGGTTCGAGCGGCAACTTGAAGTTCGTGGGTGGTAATCCGATACCTATCCGTTTTCCTGAGTAAATCGCATCTTCCTACTTCGATCTACTTTTCCCTACCTTTCCGCATCCCTTGGTATTACTGTCTTATTTCAAGTATACTTTCTTATTCCGTACCTTTGCTTTCCTATGCCTTGCTTGCTTCAGTGACTGTCACCGCTAGGAGTGCTAGGGTAGGAAAAGTGGGCCGCAATTGGTTGGCCAGGGTGCGATACGGGTGTTCCGTTTTAGATCCATTAAGAACTCTAAGCACTTCATTAACTCCTGGCTCATAGATTCACCCAAGCTGGAACATTCACGGGATGCTGCAATCGTTTTAGTCCCAACCGAACTCGAACTTAAACTTGGCTGTTACCTGGTTAACCGCAGTCACAATAGCGCGTCCTGATCGGACTTTGCTAGTCAGCGGTTGTTACGTATGAAGAATACCCAACTGCATAACGTACCCTGGAAGGTACGACCAATAGAATTATCCTACCTTTCCAATCAAACAAACTTTACTAGCAATGTCATTATATTTAACCTTGAACCTGGAAGGACGCATACAATCCTCGAGGTCGTCCGGATGACGCGGGGTCGTGTATGACATGACGGAGTTGGATTTTGCTTATAAACCTGGGGATATTGTTAACGCCACTTATACATTCAGAAAACATAAAAATGAGGATTTGTCCTTTCATCGTAATGAGGCCTTACGCATTTTAAATATTTCTAAGGTAAGCCTAGGGCTAAACAAGCTCAAACACTAACAGGACTCGAACTGGGCACATGCCAAAAATTCCGTTGGGGAAACCGGATTAATACCCCTGAATTATGTGCAGCTATCCCATTGCGGCCACGGCCTCCATACCGAACGGTGCGTTTCTATTTCACCGTATTATCATTGAACTCTGCCGAGCAGGTGTTTCATATTGCCTTTGACTTTCCCTCACTGCACATCTTTACTGTGTTCGGTTACTATTCAGCTGTTGGCGACTGCTCATTTGGTAACTTGTTTTCAATGTACAATCTCACCTAGCTATATACATACATACAGTAAAATGGTAATGCACATGCGTATGTATATATATATATATATATATATATATATATATATATATATATACATATATATATGTTCATACATTTATATATGCATCACTATTTTACTGTACCTCATATATTTTAAGTAGTCTACCGGGCAACTGTACTGATGGCTTTTGCTTCCTTGTTCCTATAACTAATATTGATGCCCAAGCATCCGAGTAAATTTAGGCTGACGTCTAAATTTTAAAAACACCGACGGTTCCTATTAGTTACTTATTCTCATACCTTCAATTTCCCATAACTTGGCGAATATGACTGCTAGCCTTACCTCTAAACCCTTGCACATCCGTAGTACAATTGTTCATGAGGCTTACTGTTTCTCCATTCATATGCTAAACACACTGTCGGAGGATGCGACGGTCTTCCAGTAGCTACTTAATTAGACTAGTCGACCCGCAAATTCAGGACTGGTGAATCTGCCATGTTTCTTTGCTGCACTTCACACTGAGGAGGATGCACTAAGCACTTCTTAACTATATATTTTCAGCATAAAATGCTCTTTATATGTTTGTATTGAGAGTGAAACTACAGAATCAAAACACCTCGTGAACATTCCGCATTTTTGATGAATCTGGAGCGAAGACGTCACACCCTATTTCTACCAAAAGTGGAAGGCGGAATTTAATGGGCTAAGTACCGAGATAAGTTCAAGTTCAAGCGGGACTGGAACGATAGGATTATCCCGTGAGTGTTCCTTCTTCGGCGGGTCGTTGAACCAGCAGTTGGCGAACTTTGAAATACTGATGGACCTAAAACAAAGACCGCATCACACCCTGTCCAACCAATTAATGCCCACGTATCCTGCCCTAGCAGTCCCTGCTGGGTCGGTTACGTGAAGTAAGAAAAAAAAGTAAACTCAGCAGGCAAAAGAGAAAGTGGAAAGAGCTAAGCAAGTGGAATACCAAGATATTTGAGTCATTAAAAGAAGAACTGAAAAGTGAAGGAGTCGGTTAGGAAAAAGGAAAGGTTTGCTGTTGTCACCCAAGAGCATCAAGCTGGCGCGCAAAACCCTTAACCGTAGGATCCCTAACCACGTGGTCTGGAAGCGAATTCCAGCGATCTATAACTATCTATAATAAACCCAAGATAGGTGGTAGTATATCTTATAAAGCAGCCTTTGGTTATCCTCATTACCTTATACCACGACAAAGCAGGGCCAAAAAGTACCTTTGCGCTCTGAAAAACAGTTGCGGTCAGCCATCTGAATGATCACCGTCCATAAGAGCGAGAACGTGGTCTTGCCGAACAACCTCCTCGTGGTGCCAGCTGGGTGGTTCGGGACTTTCCCGTTCCAGCAAATGGTTCGGCGGCAGTGTTCCAGGATGTGGTGGGTTTTCGCCTGGCAAGCGTTTTCCCCATAAAAAGCCACATATGTCCGTTTAACAACACTGTGACGTGGCGGACGTGACTCGCCACTAGATAAAGTCACTGCCCCTTGCTTCATCCTGGCGAAGCATTGTATTCCAGCAACAACATGCTATACTTCTGGGGAGCATTGGGCCCCTGTTTGACAAAGGAACAAACGAAAGGCGTATGAACTGAGCAATCAGTCACCGGCTCCCAATGGGCGCGATTCCCTGAATTCGCTCCGCTACCTTGCGGACAGGTTATTCAGCCAAAGGCTCGGGGTGGTGTCCCCTAAGTCAACACCCTACTTCGGCTTGGGCAACCGGGTAGTATCTCGCCCTCTGAGGAAACCATGGACATTGTTGTGTTGTGTTTTATTTTACTATTTCTGTATCTTCGTTTGAATCCCATGGTTTCTGATGGCATTATGTCTATTCGTAGACTTTTGCAAATATACATATATATATATATATATATATATATATATATATATATATATATATATATATATATATATATATACTTTCCGACTATGATCCGGTTTGGGCTACACTAGTCCCTAATTCTCATTATCTAACGACTCACTCCAAACATCATGAAAGTGACGTCGGGAGGGTACTCCACTGATAACTTCACAGCATATAATAAATCAACTACGGCAGTACATCAGCCATTTAAACTGATGCTTCGCTGCCATGCAACCATGATGACCTATGAAATAAAGAATAATAAGAAAACGTGGGACTTACCTGAAAACTTTAATGCTTGAAACAAACATTCAGCGTCAAGGCGCCTACATCTTGTGTTAACGACATACTGTCACACACAGCTGGCTATCGTGCAAAGATTACGAGGCATCGTCGAGACGACTTCCTCGCGGCTTTCACTGCCCCGCGTCATAATCAGCCATGACCCCGCAGATAACTTAGCACCACTCTTTAAACAGGCAATCAGCTTAGGAGATGGCATCAGACGCGTCATTTGTGTCGGTTGTTAGCCATGTCCTGTAAAGCCTCGAGCCAAACACAAGGCGGTCAAGTGGACTCTAGCGCGGAAGGCGTGCCGGACCAACGGCACCTAGTTTGATCGTCAGTGACATCATTTGCCGTGGCCAAGTCAACTTCTGTCCACCTCCAGCATTGCGCCACTTACATCTGGCAAACGAAACAAAGTTCTCCTAGGTAAGCAGTGCCCAACCATACGTAGCACGTGCTTGAGCCAACGCAACTTATTCACTGCTATCTGTTGTTCTAGAAGGCAAACATGATTATCAGCACCTAGTATACGCCGATGCAAATCATTGTTGCGGACACGCTACTGCCAACCGACACTAACAATGCTCTGCAGACAATGATCAAAGAGTTGAAGGCACCTCAGATCCATAAAACAAAGGGGCCAAGTCTCACTACCACAGAGCAGAACGGTCCTCATTGTGGTCTAGTATACACGGCCTTTCAGACCAAGAGAAACCTCCCTTCTGTCGCAAAAGATACCGCAGGTTCAAAAAGACAGCTCTGGCCTTTGCAATGCGTGAGCTGACGTCAGTTTCTATGCGTCCACCGTTGCTGATGTGGCTGCCAAGATACCTGAATTGATCAACTACCTGGAGTTCTTCGTTAGCAAGGGTCAAGGGGTCATAAAGTGGCTGGTGGTCCAGCAGCAACACCTTGCACTTTGAAAGTGCGAAGCGCATACCAAATAATAGGACCACTTTTAAGAAGCTATTCAGGGTTGGTTGTGCTGCATCGTCGAAAAGCAAGATGATCTCGTCCGCATAATCAAAATCAACTAATCTTTCGCCAGGCAGAACCTCAACGCCTACCTCGTGATATACCACAAGCGAACACTCCATGATGGAGTGTACAACGAAATTGAACAAAATCTGGGAAATCGGACAACCCTGACAAATGTCACTGGTGGTCAGAAAGCTATCCGATAGCGCACCGTGGACCTTGACGCGGCCTGTACTGTTCGAGTACATAGCACTTAGGATGTTCACATATTTCGTGGGAACACCTTTCCGCGCAAGTATTTCGAACGTAATGCATCGAGCTACTGTATCCAACACAATCTTGAAAGCGAGGAACACAGCTATTACTGGTCTCCGGTATGCGTGGCACTGCTCTAGCACCTGCTGCAAAGTGAATATACGGTCCAGACAGCCACATCCTGGATGGAAACTGGCCTGATCTTCCTTAGTCTGAAATTCCTGTTCCACACTGAGACGACGAAGGCGAATCGAGGCCAGCGATTTTGTCAGAACAGGCGATAGGCTTATACGCATGTGGTTAGCACAGTTTGTGCAACTGCCCTTCTTATAGATTTCCACTATCATCGATTCACTCCAATTAGCCGGGACACTTCCTTCTAGACATGTTAGAATAAGGAGGCTAGTGTTTTGCGGAGGACCTCACCTGCATCCTTAAATAGTGTAGGTGGGAAAGAATTCTGGCCAGCGCCATGCAAAAGATTGAGGACTGTGATCGCCTTTCGGTCCTGGCCTTGGACGGTGGCTCTAAACTAACCGTCCATGGCTCGTCCTGCATCATCTGAGTAGGAAGAGGTCCGGGAGCAGGGGGGCAACTAAACTGATCTTAAAAGGGTTCTGCCCAACGAGCTATCTGGCGCTCCTTATTGTGAATCATGACACCCGCACTGTTCATAACTGTCTCACTAACGTCTGGTATCCTGGGACCAGTGGTGCGGATAAGCTGGAAGCGCTTGCGGTAGTTGCCTACTGCTTCTGCCTCCTCCATTTCTTGTGCTTCCTCTTCAGCACGCAGGCTGCGCGTTAGTTCATGCCTAATAGCCCGTCTGGTCACAACGTGCGCAGAATCAGCCGGGAGGTTTCTTCTGGATTCCAACAGGTTCACCAACCTCTCGGATATCTAGTGACTGGTGCGGTGACCATCGATTGTTCCACAAGCAGGTGCTCCCGAGTCGTGCATGGCAGCCGAGATCCTATTCCACGGAAGCTCAGTGTCATTAGAACAAGACAGCGAAAGTTCGGTACACAATGCGTCTTGATAGGCTTGCCTGACCAAGGGCTAAGACAATTTCTCACTTGCCAATCGGAGGAGACGCTTGGTGCGCCTCCCGGTAAAGTTCATGGAGAAACGACAGCTTACCAAGGCATGATCAGAGTCGATACAGGTACTCCAGTACGAGTGGCAATCCAGGATTCAACCATGCCATCTGTAACTTATGGCTATGTGGTCAATCTGGGTCCATCGCTGGCCAGCTACAGGAAGACGCCTAGATGGTATTTCGGCGCCTGCTGTCTAAAAGCGATGCTACTAAAAAACAACTGGTGCTCCGCACACAGTTGCAACAGACGCTCACCGTTGTCAGTCCGTTTGGAGTTAAGCCCACAATTACCACCCAGCTGAGCTTCTGAAGTGCTCAGACGCCGTACTTATGCGT